TTTACTTGGACTGTAGGATCTTAAAAAACAGAGCCGTCCTCCAAAGGCTGAGATCTGCAACAACAATACAAAAAGTAATGCTTACTCATACTGAGTCCTTTGGTGGACAAAGTCCATGAATGGTCAGATTTAAATGTGAAATATCAAAACAACAAGGAACGGAGGGAGGGAGAGAGGGACGACTCAACAAACTGCCAACAAGCTGCATGTTGTACTATACAAAGAATAGCTAGTCTCCCTTTTACTGGTTGAAAAGATAAACCTGAAATACACCCGGTACCACTCAGTGATACAGCTGAGCCTTCCCAGTATTCATATTTAAGACAGGATTTGAGTTCATTGCCTTTCTCTGAGCAGACCCTTTTAAGGTCTCTCTCTCCAGATGAAGCATTCAATCCCTTCACACAGACCAGGCTTATCTTCAGTGGTGATCACAGGTCTAAGACCTGTGGCTGTTACCAGGGAAGATTCCTTAAAGAACCAAATGAGTTACTAGACTGTAAGAGCAGGAACAAATCATTTAGTGAAAAAATCTAAACATAACCATCTGTCTATATCCATTTATGCTTGGTCTTCTGCTTTCAACAGCTCCTTTTAGACTAGGGGATGTGGGGACCACTGTGGAAAGTAGCACAGCTTTCGTAAAGATACACAGCTTTAAAAGCTATACAAATGATTTTATAGTTACCGGAGCTGAGAGCATAGACATGTTCAGAACAAAACTCAATAAAAACGTGATACAAATGGAAATAAGGGCTATGAGTTTGACATGCTCCTTTATAGACAATACGTGGCAGGAAAATTCTGCATTCAGAGCCAAAATCACCTCAAATCAGATTTTAACAACCGGCTTGTTAACAGATGAAGTATTCAAACACAAGCACAAATAAGTTCCACACCTGACTCTTCTTCATCAGTTGCAAACTTTCTCATAAAACTAGCACTTGCATTTGCACATTTGGGCAGGAACTTTTATCTCTGAAGTCTCAATTAAAACGGATTAACTAAGTTAGAGCAAAAACACTGTAAGGATATTTATGTTCTGAACCTCTGATAAATCATGATTTAACTGAACTTGATTAGGGTCAATTGCAAGATAAACACAAGTGAATTACATTCACCGAAACATCTGCACAATACAAACTCTAAAATTCTGTGACATTAAGTGGTCCAAAACTCTGTAGACAGCTATTAACATGAAACAATTAGTAAAATTAAATTTGATACTCAGGAAACTTGTTTTATCTTCAAAGTGTACTTACCTGGTAATCTTGGAAGGTAGAGATAGTAAACAGTTGTTTGTTGTTGTTTTATATTATTTACTTTTAGTAGAATCATAGAATAACTTGGTTTGGTAGGGACCTCAAAGATCATCCAATCCCCTTCCATGGGCAGGGCTGCCCCCTACCAGCTCAGCTGCCCAGAGCCCCATCCAACCTGGACTTGAATGCCTCCAGGGATGGAGCATCCACATCTTCTCTGGGCAGCTGTGCCAGCACCCCACTGCCCAATGAGTAAACAACTTTTTCCTAACGTGCAATCTAAATCTTCCCTCTTTCAGTTTAAAGCCATTCCCCCTTATCTTACTGCTATCAGATCACATAGGAAGTCACTCTGCTTTCTGCTTTTATGTTCCCTTAAAGTACTGGAAAGCCACAATTAGGTCCCCTTGGAGCCTTCTCCACACTAAAAGTCCAGCTCTCTCAGCGTGTCTTCTTAAGAGAGGTGCTCGAGCCCTCTGATCATCTTCATGGCCTCCTCTGGACCCATTTCAACAGCTCCACATCCTTCCTGTACTGGGTGCCCCAGGCCTGGACACAGTTCTCCAGCTGGGGGTCTTACAAGGGCAGAGTAGAGGGGGAACAATCTCCTCCCTCTCCCTGCTGGCCACCCCTTTTCTGATTCACCCCAGGATACAGCTGGCCTTTTGGGCTGCAAGCACACACTGCTGCCTCACATCCAGCTTTTCTTAATGGAAATACTGAGGATGCACAGTGAGGTACTTAGCATCTTCTATCTTTAAGCATGAAATAGCCATCACAAATTATTAATTGCAAGTACGACCAGCCAAAAGCCAAGTAAACTGCTCTCCAAATACTAAACCATTTAATTCTATCTTGTCACAGTAGAAAAACCCATACATACTGTGTTTAATGAACCAAATCTTAAAGAAAACCACCATCATAACAATGAGAATTAAAACAGTAGATGAATCTCACATGGAATTGTTGCAGTAGTTCATATATTAAAGAATGTGTTTTAATTTCACTTCAGAAATACCTGAATTAACCTTTCATCTCTGTGCAAGATTCTAATTTTCATTATTATTATTTTTTATTAGAGCCCTATCATACTTCCCTCCCACCCCGTGAATGAATGCTTTGAATGAATGTTTTGAGCTTTAAGATAATTTCTTCAGCTCTTAAATCATTTCCACTTATTTTGTTTCCCTAATTTCCAAAGCTCTTCAGTAGGACAAGCACCATAAGACGCATTGAGTTCACTACTAACAAACATATGGATAAAAGTAATCTCCCAACCATGAAGAAAACTCCATAAACCTCAGAGGAGTAGGGACAGTTCTGCTAAATTTTTTTCCTGCTGTCTTTCAGCTCTTTTTTAGTGCTTTCCAGACTATTCATGCCTTCCACGGTTAATTCCAGATTCATACCTCAACATTCAGCTGCATAAAGGATACAGTTTGATCCGATTGCTATAATTCACTAAGTGTTGAACACAAGTGCTGTGACATTTATCACTGCATTAATCGTTGGGTTTTTGAAGTTTACCCTCAAACAGTTGATCAGCTGAAGATCAGCTGAACAGTCCCAGTCTTAAGCTTTCCAAAAACCCACTCCAACAATATGCAACTCACAGAAACAACACAAGCTTACTGCTCTCTGTGTGACATCATTTCAATCCTTATTATTCTGTACTCTTGCCACTCACTGCCTTGTCTGCCCTTAGAACTGCACATGCCTTGGCTGAGGCCTGACAGGCTTGAACAGCATGAGCAAAGAGAAGGAGCAGTCTGTTCCTCCTGCAGAACAATGCCATTTAAAGGCCGTGGGAGCTTTCCCTGAGAGCAAGCAACTAAGCAGGGAGCTGCTAACTGCACCTCTGAGCACTTAGAAGCTCTTACTTGGTTCGTTTAATATTAAGAAAGATTTGCATTCAGAGTGAGAACAACACGATCTAGTTGTTAGCATACACAACAAGTGCAACCAGTAGTCAGATTAAGGCAGAATGTTTACAGACTTCTCAAAATGCTGCTGAAAAAACATCCAAACCAACAAGCCTGATTATGTTTGCCCAGAATAAATGATTACAAAAATGGGAGTGGCGTCCAAAAAAAGCACAAACTTTCAAGCCCAGATTTTCAACAGAAAACATTTACTTTTGGATTGTTTTGGGTCTTGTGTGATAAAGCATTTCTGTAAAAGGCAAGCAGAGGTCAAGCCTGAACCTTTCATAAGCTGCCTAGAAGTGTGATAGCATTATCACCTGTTTTTCACAGAAGCTAAGAGGAACATCCAAATACCTCAATAGCCTTGCTCTGTAAGAGATCTTCTACCAGTTCTGTTTTCATACTCCCTTCTTCCTTGTAGCATGTCTTAGCTACATGTTCACATAGATCTTCATTCCAAGAACAGCTTTGTGCCTTGTGTTAGCTTCAAGGAGGAGAATTTAACATTAATAAAAACACAATTATGAAAGAGAGAACAGGTTCTAGAGGCTTTCGAGTACTCAGAAGCAGTGAAATATTTTAATTCATGCACCGATACAGATTTCTAATGTTTGACAAAATGAACTCAACTACTGGTACTCCTAGACAGTATCAGCTGCTTCTGAGCATTAACATTTACCAGCTATTTGAAATAAACATTGTCATAGTAGGAGCTGTTTCTCGGCACAGTAAGAAGAAAAAAATATTTGATTAAACTCTGTGTTTAATGTCAGTCTTCAGAAATAACAAGCAATGTAACTGCACCTACATTCTGAGCTGAAATAAGCCCAAAACACAAACTGCCCATGGTCTGCTTCACAGCACTGACTCTGACCTCACGTTTATAGATAGAATATAAATATATAAGATACATGCATCGTCTGTGTCCATCCCTTTCCACTTAGGCCTAAATATTTTTTATATTTGGCACACAACAATCACCACTTCATCACAACATATATTGGAAAGAACAACAACTGCCTACGGTCTTTCAGCGTAAAAGTTTATTTACTTAGCACATTAAATGCTTTATGATTAAATCATGCAAACAGATTACAAAAACAAATGACTTCAAATACAACTGCACATTTAAAATTCACTCAAACTTTTTCTACTTTGAGATTGAAGGTTAAGGGTAATCTATCAACCAAAGATAAAGCTATGCATAAATAAATGTGTTGATGTCTTCAAGATAAAATAATCAGTGAAAACAGTATTTTTAATAGATATATCTGTACAAAGAATACAGACCATTCACTCTCCTTCAGAGTCTGATCCATTCATTTGATATAAAGCCACAAATATTATAAATCGGCATACTATTAAAGCACAGCAGCCAGTCTGCCCACAGTGTAAGATCCCTACTTACATACTGCAGTGTAGGACCACGTTGCTTGAAAAAAAATATATGATTTCAAAGATTAAGAGGTTTAATTATACAACCTCCAATGGAAGTGTATAATGCAAGTTGCACAAGTAAATCCCCACTGAATATTACAAAAGGTCATTAGCCAAAATTCCAAATATAAAGTCCTGACTTTCAGGTCAAAAATACACAATCAGCTAACATGTCTACTTCTGTGCATGCAAATGACTCAATAAACAATTTTTGTGTCTGTGCACCTCTTGGTAGTTTTTAAAGTAACTGCTCATGTGAAGAATCACACAGCTGCACAGGGTTCGAGTTCAAAGTAACCACAGCCCTACCCTCACAAAGTCTACATCACAGCAGTTCTTCAGATGACTGAATGACTTTCTCATTTCCCTAAAGAAAAGAAATTCATACTTAATTTACAGCACAAGTAGAACAACCAGAATACAAATGAGAACACTGTTATAGGCTGCAAGAGCTAAGCTTTGCATCTCCTGACACCAATTCTCTCAAAACAACAATATAAGAATATTTACATAAGAATTAGAATATAAATAATTATACTACACCATGAAATCCTCGAGACAGAATATACAAAACTTATAATACAGCATTAATTATCCATCAACCTATCAAACAGAATACCTTAATGTTAATACAGCTTGGAAGGTAAACATAACCTATAGGTTAAGTTTTCACATGGCTGTTTGTCAGTGCAGCATAAAACATTTCCATAGTGCAATCTTACCAACTGTGTTAAATACACTCTCCCCTCCAGAAAAATGCTTCTCCTCCCTCCCCCCCGCCATAAAACACTGAGGAGTCACTCTGATAGCTCATATCTCATACACAGCATTGTTTGAAACATAATAACAAAGGGAAGCTCAATTTAACACTGAGAAGGGATTAAACAATGCTGAGAAATTAAAACAAGATATGCTATAGCTGGAAGACACGAAACCTAAAAATCTGATCTATGGAAGAATTAAGACATTGATCCTTTTTTTTTTCATCTACTGAAAACATTGTATGACAATACAGCACATACTCCATTCTGTTAGCAACAACTCTAAGATTACTTTAATTGCTGGAGAATCACAGTGTTAAGTATATCTGCTTCTCGTAGTGTCAGGCTTTCATCTGTTAGCTCTTTATTTGGAAAGGTCGTCACAAGAACAAAATCAGTTGTTGCAAATGCTGGACGGGACTGGATAATGAAATCTCGAATATCTTTAATCCTGTGGAAGGGATAGGACATGAAAGCTGTGTATGATTCCATTCCAATCTGAATCTCTGAAGACAACACAACCTTCTAACAGATTGAAAAACTGTTTAGTATGTCCTATTGGTTTTACTTTTCAATTTCATCCATAGTGCTATGGGTTGCAGCCTAGAAATGCTTTACTTCTTATAGGCAAAACCTGAAGAATTAATTTTAATGCCTCTTGTTTTCTCAAATAAGAGAAATAAAAGTATTAACATAGAAGTGCATTGTAAACTGATATTTAACATAAGAAGTCAAGTAATTTCAATTCCAATTGTAAAAAAAAAAAACAAACAAAAACCCTATATTAATTAGTATACACCAAAAAGGTTAAAATAATAATGGAAGGAAAGATCTTACAACATATGGTGATGAGAAAGCAGAGGGGAATTATTAATGCACCTCAATAGCAAGTAGGTTTCCCCTCTTTTCACTTAGTATTGAACTAGCAAACAACAGTTCATGAAACAGACACAGCATAGCAAATACAATTTAGTTTTAATAATTTCGTTTTATAAGACATGGATGAAAGTAAGATTTTTAGAGATAAAAACAACTCAGCAATAAAACATCTTTGAAGGTCTACTGAACGATAAGTAGGTAGATTTCCTGTAACCAAATAAGCAGGGACTTTAACTTTCTATCTTCAAGGCTTATGATGCAAGTAATGCATTTCAGGAAGCCATTTTGATCATGCATCAGCAAAAATAAGAGAACACTAGTAATTACTGAATAAGCTTCTGTCAACACAGCCATTCTTACAGATGTGACTGGGAATTTACCACTTCTACCCTTCAATGCAGAGAACATAAAACATTATGATTACAGAGCCTCTCTAGCAGCCATACTGTTAAGTAATTTCTCCAGCTGGTGCTGGGAAGGAAGAGCCTGGGCTGGTACTATCAAGTCTACTAAGTATGAGACATTATTGCTGAAACTTCTTGTCTATTGGCACCTCAGCTAAAATTACCTTCTTGTAGTCTATGTATTTTGTCAGGTGAAGAAAGCTGCACATTGGCTCTGGCCTTATTCTGAGACCGAAATGGAAGAAGAAGAAAGAGAACAGGTGGACCCTTAAAGCCATATAACAGCTCTGCAAAGAAACTGAGTCCACACTAAAATACTAAGATCACCTTCAAGGCAAGATTCAAGCCCAGTTTCAGCTGTGTTCTAACACAACACTGCAGATTTTGGAGTGGGCTAACTTGAGCCTTGCTTGCTGTCAAGCATGGGTAGAACCACTACCCAAATCTCTGCCTCCTGCTCAAAGTTCTCTCAGCCACGTAGAACAGCAAGTGCAAAGCATAACTTCGCAGAACTTTGCTCTAAAATAATCTCTTAGACAAATAAATGAGGTTGGCCAACACCATTTGTGATAATGCCCCAACAATGTCAATAAAAGTGATGGCAAGCTCCAAACAACAGCCTACTAAGTTGACTGGAGCAGATGGACACTGAATAAGGAGGAAAAGACAGAGGCATTTAACACCTCGATATTTAATAGTGATGATAGATTTTGGGGTGCCAGGACCCCAGAGTTGGAGGACCCTGACTTTACATCTGTAGTCAGTGGAATTGTAAGGGAACAACTGTATTAGCTCAACATTCCTAAGCCCACAGAGCCAGGCAGGATTCATTCCAGAGCACTGAAGGAATTAGATGTTACAGTTGGACTTCTCTCAGAATTTTAAGTGAGGTCATGGAAGTCAGGAGAAGTCCCTGCTGAATGGAAACTAGCCAATGTTACATCCATCGACAAAAAGGGCATGAGAGAAGACTCAAGAAACTACAACCTATTGATCTAATCTCAGTCCCCCAAAGAGTTACAGAGAAGATTGTCCTATGGGACATTGAAAGGCACTTAAACAACAAAAATACTATCAGGGATAGTCAACACCAGTTCATCAAGGGAAGCCAGTGGATATAATCTTTTTGGATTTCATTAATACCTTTCATACTGCTCCCCATGGCATCCTTCTGGACAAGTTGACCAATTCTGAGATAAACAGTTTCACACCATGCAGGTTGATGAACTGGTTTGATGGTAGCATGCACAGGGTTGTAGTGAATGGAGCTGCAAGCTGGCAGACAGTCACCAGCGGTGTTCCCCAGGGCTCCATTCTACAGTCTGCTCAACATTTTGATCAATGATCTGGATGCAGGACTGGAGTATATTCTCAGAAGTTAGCTGATGATGCTAAACTGAGAGGGATGAGAGGCCTTCCAGAGGGTTTTAGAGAGACTGGAGCACTGAGCAATTAGCAGCTGCTGGCCCTTTTCCCCCTGGTAACCGTTCACAGGACCTGTAGGAACAGCACAAAGCTGTGCCAGGGGAGATTCAAACCTGTCATAAGGAGAAAGTTCCTCACTGTGAAGGTCATCATACACTGGAACAGGCTTACTAAAGAGGTTGTTGATGACCCATGTCTCCTCCAGCATTCCAGACACTTTTGGATAATGCCTTCAACAATGTGTTTAACTTTTGGGCAGCCCCAAAAGAGGTCAGGCAGTTTAACTATATGATCTTTGAATGTCCCTTCTTACTGACCTATTCTGTTCTAATGAATCTAAACACTCACCAAGTTTCACATGCTGCCCATCCCTAGGAGACAACCATCCATTGTTTGTCAGCACTAGCCCAGCCACACAGCAGAACTGAAATGAGTACGGTGTGACCACATACCCTTCTGACTACAGGAATCAGCCTACACTTACAAACCATATCTTATTCAGTCATAGTTTAGGCAGCTTCAAGTACAGTGAAATAGAAAGTTGGAGCTCCAGATTATAGGAGCAACCCTGCCTATACTGTGGAACACCTTATCTCCATAACACCTCAGAACAAAGTGCCTTCACAGAGTCATCCAAGTCAGTCACTGGCTTCTCCCACAATGAGCTCCAGGTTGGGATGACTACACTGAAAGGTTGTCCAGAGGTCAGCTTCCTCAGGAATAGTAAGGGGATCTTATACCTACACAGACACTCATTATGGCTGGTACTGAGTCTTTACAAGTCACAGGACATCACAAGTCAGGAAAGTTTGTGACTTTGCAATTACCAAATATCCTGTGTTTTCAATTACAGTTTTGCTCTGATGGTCAATTTATCAATACATCTCTGTCTACAAAAACAATGCAGACCTGTGATATTCTGGTGGAATTTTATTTCCCCTTTTCGGTGCCTTGCTGATATTCATTTGATGATAAAGCACAAACCTACCAAAATAGTTATTGTCACTTGTACTGAATCACAGAATCACGGACTGATTGATGAAGAATTACTGATGTAAAATTAATTTACCTGTGTGTTTGATTAAATCTTTGTATTAATCTGCTTCCATCAGCTAATCTGATTTGAATTTTAGTTGCTGGAACAGAGTCATCAATCAGAACAGGTGCATTAAGAATGGATTTGTCCTCCTCCTCTGGAGATGAAGGTGTGCTGACTATTTCAGGTGTAAGACTAGACAAGTGAAAAAAAAACGAAAGAAAATAAACAATACTTATATAATTTCTTTTCAAAGACCAGAATTCCACATATATTTTTTCTGTAACTGCGTAGATCCTTACCTTTATCTGCTATTAAATAGGTAATCAGGTACAAACTGAAATATCTGAACTGAAATATTATGCATACAGAACATGAAATGACAGTCTCTGGAACTAGGATTCCCATGTCATAACTCATGGACTGAATTTCAAAAGAATAATCACACACCATTATATTGTACTAACTGTCCCAAACTAGAGATTTAGAAATTGCTGTCATGAGCAATGTTTTACAATTCTGGGTATACCCCACCTTTTTAGAGCACAAATGATATCAGCAGATAATTGGCAACACTGCATAGAAAGCTTGCATTCTTTGTCCTGCACAGCATACAAATAAGACAAATCTGATTGGAGATAACTATTTGGCTCCTTTCTTTCACTGCTTAAATAGCTAAGACTGCACAAGATACCAAAACAAAAAAATTCTAAAATGGGTGTGTACATTCTTCTACATACAGCCTCTCTTCTCCACCTGTTTTTGTGCTGTATTTCTTTAAGTAGCCCAAGAAAGTGCTCAGGTGAAGATGCTACTGTACAAAATTGTTCGCAGCATTACTCCTATTTCTCACCTTTTTATTTCTTGTGAGCACATTTCCTGATTTAAAAAAAAAACAAACATAGGATACATACATATAGTTTGGAAACTGCTAAGAAGCATTTAGTGAATTACAAAGAATCATAGAATTGCTCAGGCTGGAAGACCTTAAAGATCATCAAATCCAACCACAACCTAACCAAACTACCCTAACTCTAACAGCCCCCTGCTACATCATGTCCCTGAGCACCACATCCAAACGGTTTTTAAACACATCCATGGATGGTGACTCAACCACCTCCCTGGGGAGCCTACTCCAGTGCTTAACAACCCTTTCTGAAGTTTTCCTGATATCCAACCTAAATCTCCTGTGGTGCAACTTGAGGCCATTTCCCCTCGTCCTGTCACCTGCCACCAGTGAGAAGAGACCAGTCCTGCTCTCGCTGCGATCACCTTTCAGGTATTGGAAGAGAGCAATAAGGTCTCCCCTCAGCCTTTTCTTCCCCAGCATTAAGTACAACAGCATACTGTTAGTATCTTCTTCGGAAAACAAATATATCAGATGAATAGACATAATCATAATTAGAAGCCTAGGAATACGCACAGCTCAACAGCTCATACCAAATCAGTGGGAGAAGATGCTATAAAAGTGAAAATTGTTATGTAAAAAAGCCTGCTCACTGGCAGAATTGTCACTTAACTGTTTACTATGACAGTAATTTAATCTGAACAGAGATGATGCATATCTGACCAAAGGAGACATTCCAAACACAGGAATGACTTCTGCATTATTAGGTACCAGTTCCACTGGTAGAAAAATGTATATATATGCACAAAGTTATACATAAGAATAGGCAGAGAAATCTTGTATATACAACAAACATCTAGCAGGTTTAAGAGCAGGTCCAGGACATAGAAGTAAGACTTGCCTTTTAGTAAGATTACATATAAGCTTCCACGGTTACAAGTGACTATAAAATCAGGGCTGGGACCTTGAAATCAAGGTGGCACAAAATGATTTCATATTGCTTTCATCACCTGGTTAGTTCTCCAAAAGCCTCCTAACTGATTCAATCCAGCTTTTGGCATGACATACGGACACAGAAAACTCAGTGATTTTTACCTTCCGAGTTTCTGCCCTTCTCCACTGAAAGCTTTGAATCGCAGTCTTGGCTTCACATATTCCTGCTCCTGGTGGTCTTCCATATCCAGGTTAACCTGGCCACCATGAACAAGTCGCTGCAGTTCCACAGGAATTTCCCTTAATTCAAAACAAGGCCCTCAGTTATGCTCTACTGCAATGAAGAATTACACAAATATCTTACACAGCACAAGTTCATGCTTGTACTCTGCTTACTTTAAAAGCTGTAGGTGCCCAATTGTTTTACAAATTGATTTCATCTCAAAATGACAGATAAAATGAAAAATTGAAATGAAGAAAAAAGATCAGCCTAGAAATCACTAACAAAATACGTGGAACTAAGCCTATATGAGTAAGAAACCAAAAAACTTCAAATTTTGAAGTACTCAATGCATCTGATGACAAATACGGAACTCATTTTATGGGTGCAAACATAGCAGAAACCTTGAGTTTTTAATAATTTCAATCATTTTGAGAAAGCAGGTTTTTCTCCCTTCACTTAAAGGATGTGCCTCAATAAAATTGCTATTTTAACTTACCCTCTTTTAACAGACTCAAGAAACTGAGCATTTATTGGGTCTGAATAGGATCTCAATTCTCCGTCATCTAAACTGAAGCCGTTCCTCCACAGTTTCAGCAAAATTTGAACCTGAGGGAAAAACATTGAAGTTCCAGAAAGTGAGGATACACAGGTATTTCAGTTTCCTACAGATTACCATTTATTCCAAGACCATTTGTACATTTTTAATAAAGAATCTCTTATTAATCTGTTATTTGTGACATACAGATAATATGCAATGACTTCATAATGAGCTTGACAGTGTTTCAACTACTTCTAAAAGCAGTAAACACTTCTTAATAAATCAAGAAATAAATGCATACATTCACAAAATATTGCTGATATACCAGTTAAAGCTATAATTGCTATTTCCTCAAATTGTTTAACAGCAGTTAAAGTTGATACTGGCTCTACCCTGTTTAAATTCTGAGCATTGCATCCTGGACACCAGCTTCCTTCACTCCCCTCTGTTTTTGCTGCCTGCACATAGCACCAGCCAAAGCCTGTATCACTGGAGACACTGCAAATCTCTGAAGTCTGCACTTCTCTTTCCTGCAACTAACAAGATCCCAGCAAGATCAGGCTTCCCAGTAAAACTGTGCTTAGAAAACTAGCCCTATCTCAAATAATGGTAACCCCACTGCAGTGTGCTTCTGGCTCAGCAGAGCAGGCTATTACTTAACAAGCAGAAGGATTACTTAAGAGGAAAGAAGGCATCACTTCCTGGCATGCTGTATAATCAAGATGTTATAATCACAATATAATCAAGAGAATTAGGCAAAGTAAACAACGATCACAAAAGAGAATAAGTGGAAGAGCTTACCCTTCGGCTGAGCTCACCAGAAGACACCAAGAGAGGTGATCTCCAGAAGAGATCCTTCCCCTCTGGTAGCCAGCTCTTAAATAGGTCCAGGAGAGGTGGAGCCTGGCTCCACTCCTTCCGGCAGCACAGGTGAATTGCCTTCACCTGTGCTCCTCTGGCTGACTCATGGCTCGCCTCAGGTGATCAATCAGAGGTTCAGGCCGTGACTCAGCAGTTCCCATACACATGCCATGCCATAAGTTCCCAACCTAAACCACATACTTTAGCTTCTCTCATTTTTTTCTGTCTTGATGAGCCTAATATCAACTGTAGCCACTCATCTGAATAGGAAGGTATAGAAGACTGTATTTTTGACTCTCCCTCACTTTCACACGATGACGTGATCCTGAACAAAATAAATCTGACAAGGAGAAAGGGAGAAAAAGATTAGCTTTTAACCTGGATCATCTCCCTGATCCAACTTACTGCTTCTGCTGGCTTGTGGGAACAAGAGCCTGGAATAGACTGTCCTCCAGTCTAACACCTTAGGTTTTGTTTTGTTTATTTTTAAACATTATGAGACTAGCAGTATAATAACCTTTGTTTCTTTCTTACTAATAAGTGGAAGAATTTAAGCTGCATCTAAGACACAGGGAAAAGACGACTGGAACTCATGCTCAGACTGAAAAACTGGCAAATAAAAGCTTTTGATGTTTCCACTATCTTCATATTATCAGCTAGGATGCATTTAAACTGTATAAGGAAGAAAATGAGGAATAATTTAAAAGAAAAGATGACCTGATTTTTCCCACATTCGATCTTGAGTCAGAGTAGACTATTCCACAAACTGTGTCAAGTACAGCAAAGAAGTGTCAAGATGAGAAGATGTGAGTAACCTGCATAGAGAGGATTTACAAAACCAGCTATTTATAATTTGTGCAACAGAATGGTTTAATAAATTTCAGCCACTCACATGAAAGCACACAAAAGATGACTGCAAACATGGACAAAACTCTTCTTTTTCCTCCTCACTCTGTTTCTCAAGTAGTGAAATCAGTGCTTTCTCAGCTGTGGGTGGGCACACTGTGTCTAACTTGAGCCTTCTTTCCCACTAGTTAGTCTGCTATAAAGGGAAACCATGCATTTTCCACCATACTGAAAATAATTTGCAAAGAGAACTCTAGCACAAATTGTACGCAGATTATGTAAAAAACTATTAAGACACAGTGAACTGAATATTATTATTAAAGAAGAAAGGGATTCTTTTAGCTTATCTATTCTCAGAAATAACCATGCCTCGAGTTAGCATCAAAATTTAAGACAGTCTGGAACTTGAATCGTGTCTAGAGAAAACTAATTTCCATTAACAAAAAATAAATACTTCAGAGGTATTAACTTAACTATCTTTTATATTTTGAATTAATTTTGTTTTCAAGCATTTTCCATCAAAAAAAGCAAAGGCTGACATTCACAGAACTGCCACTACGCTCAAATCCGTTTTCAGCTGGTTAATAGGCAGGATGAGAAAACTGCTTGGTTTCAAAATCCTAATGTGCTCAAGTAAATCTGGAACAGAGTTTAAGCATGTCTGTGGTAGCTCAGATGCATTTTGGGGAAAAAGTCTTTGGTTAAGACCTGTTTACCATAAGAAATGAAACAAATTTGCCAAATGATTACTTGTTAGTCAGCCTCACCCCTCAATTCCTGGGAAGAGACTGGAGCATCTAAACCCGGAAATCATTTTCCAGGCATAGGAAAGAAATCAAATTCATCATGAGCAGCCAGCACAGACTGACCAACTAGAAGCTGTGTTTGACCAAATTCTGTAATGAAGTGACTGGTCTGGTAGATGAGGGGAGAACAGTCAGCATTGCCCACCTGGAGATCCTCACAGAGGGGCTGTCAAAGTTTGGGCTGGATGAGCAAACAATGAGCTGGACTGAAAACTAGCTGGACAGATAGGCCCAGAGGTGGCAATGAGTGGAACAATCTATTGGAGGCTAGTAACTAACAATGTACTCCACAGGCCAATAGTGGGTTTAGTCCTGTCTTAGAATCTTCGTTAGTGATCTCACCAACAGAACAGAGTATACCCTCAGCAAGTTCGAAGATGACACAAAACTGGGAGGAGTAGCTGATACACCAGAGGATCACACTGGCATTCACAGACACCTCAACAGACTGGAAAAAGGGCTGACAGGAACCTCATCAAGTTCAAAAGCTGGAAAGCAGCTTGGCAGAACCTTAGAGGACACCAAGTAGAACATGATCCAACAATACACCCTTGCACCAAAGGCAGCTAATGGCATCCTGGACTGTATTAGGCAAAGCTTTGCCAGCAGGTGGCTGGGAGGCCACATCTACAGCACTGTGTCCAGTTACGGGCTCCCCAGTACAAGAAAGACACAAATGTAATGGAGAATGTCCAGCAAAGGGTCACAGGGATGAAGGGAATGGAGCATCCTCTCCTATGTGGAAAGTCTGAAACTGAGCTGGGCTTGTTCAGCCTAAGGAAGCAAAAGCTCAGGGAGATTTCATCAGTCTGTAAATACCTGAAGGTGCAAATAAGACAGAGTCAGGCTGCGTATGCTGGTGCCCAGTGCAGGACAAGAGCCAGTGGGCACAAACTGGAATACAGGAGGTTTGCTCTGAACATCAGGAATCATTTCTTTACTTTGCAGGTTTCTGAGCAATAGAACATTCCACCTAGAGAGGTTATGGAATCTCCTCCTTAGAGATCTTCAAAAGCTGCCTGAACATGGCATCCTGGGCAACAGGCTGTAGCCGTACCTCCTTGAGCAGAAGCTTTGGACCAGGTGACCTGAATGAAGACATTCCCAGTCTCAACTATTCTATGAAGTCATGGATAACTTATCACCCTGCTAACTGCATTCAAGTCATAATCAAGGCAATCACTCCCCACAGTTTTGAAGAAATCCTTCATTTTTCCAGCTTTCCTACATTTCAACTCTCTGCATGGTCTTAACACTAGGGAAAAGGTAACTGGCAAAATAAAGTTGTGGTATCATTTAACATACAGACGACTCGCTTTTCTAAATTACGAACTACCCAAAAATCATTATTTTATTATTATTATTTTACCAAGCATGGTAGAGATAGTCAGGTGGTAGGTATCTACTAGTAACTGTCACTTCCAGTATATGTACAGAGCAAAAAATATTAAACACTACTTATAAATCACTAATTACCAAAGGATTTTAATTAACCCAGATCAGTTCTGTGAATGCCTACAGGTCTCTTCTCTGCTTTTAATTCTAACCTCCGCTTCACAACTCAGCTCAGGAGATCAGAATGCTCTCAGCAACTCAATTTCCCAAAGTTGCACATGGTCACCCAGTCCTCTTGTCAAGCATATCCATAACACAGCCCTTAATGGTATCTACTAAATAAATATTTTTCCTCTGGAAATGCTTTCAATTAATTTCTACTGAATACATTTCTAATATTTAGATATTTGTCCTTCTTCATAGATAACTGCAGTAATATTGGTATTTTAAGCTGTAGACACAGTAAAGGCAGGAAACAATCAGGGACACTGTTTATGGCTACTCAGAATTGTACTTACATCTTGATTTTCTCCATATATATATTCAGAGTGCTTTTGAGACGAGTCACCCAATCTATATCCACCACCAGAAAATGACTGAAAAATAGACAAAGTAAAGCTCATTGAAAATATATCTGAAACAGTTTATTAAATTTATCAAGGTACAATTAAAAACAACAGCAAGCTTGCCTCCATGATAAAGAGCAAACAATTCTAATTTAAGATTTTCTGTTTAGAAAGTATACATCTAGTGATTTGTATAGGATTAATATTAGTTTCTAGTCTGTACACTTTTTCAAACATAAGTAATTCAAACCAGACATTTTGATGACTGCAGATGATTTTTTAAAATCAACTTAATAAAAAATGAAGCAAATAATCCCAGTTCAAGCTGATTCTTAACAAAACTTCCCACACAACATGTGCAAGACAAGCAAGGGATCAGGCCCAGCCAGCATGGGTTCATGAAAGGAAAGTTCTGCTTGACCAACCTCATCTCCATCAATGATCGAGTGACCCACCTGGTAGACCAGGGAAAGGCTGCTAATGTAGTTTACCTAGACTTCAGCAAAGCCTTTGACACTGTCTCCCACAGTATTCTCCTGGAGAAGCTGGCACTGGCTAAGGTCAATGGCACGGAGTTCAACTAGACCAAGTCCTGCACTTTGGCCACAACAACCCCAGGCAACACTACAGACTTGAGTGGTTGGAAGACTGCGTGGAAGAAATGGACCTGAGGGTGTTGGTCAACGCTCTGCTAAACAAGCCAGACGTGTGCCCAGGTGGCCAAGAAGGCCAATGGCATCCTCACTTGTATCAGAAATAGTGCAGCCAGCAGGAGCAGGGAAGTGATCATCCCTCTGTACTCAACTCTGGTGAGGCTGCACCTCGAGTTCTGTGTTCAGTTTTGGGCCCCTCACTATAAGAAAGACATTGAGGCCATGGAGCATGTCCAGAGAAGGGCAACAAAGCCCTGCAGGGTCTGGAGCACAAGTTATATGGGAAGCAGCTGAAGAAACCAGGATTATTCAGTCTGGAGAAGAGGAGGCTCAGGGGAGACCTTATCACTCTCTACAACTTCCTGAAGGGAAGTTGTGGCAAGGGGTGGGGAGGGGGGGGTCCACCTCTTCTCCCATGTAACTAGTGATAGGACGAGAGGGAATGGCCATAAGGTGCACCAAGGGAGGTTCAGGTTGGATATTAGGAAAAATTTCATCTCAGAACAAGAGGTAAGGAGTTGGAATGGGCTGCTCAGGGAGGAGGTTGAGTCACCATCACTGTAGGCATTCAGGAAACATTTAGATGTACTAAAGGACGTGGTTTAGTGGGGAAATATTGGCGGTAGGTTGGACTGGATGACCTGTGAGGTCTTTTCCAACCTTGGCGATTCTATGATTCCCTGAAATTGCATTGTATCCCATCACTTTCTAGAACAAGCTACCGAGCACATATAATACACAAATGCATTGATCAAATCCTCTGCTATGTGCAAACCACAGAAAGACATATTTGCTTTCATGTGATTATATGAGTTTTGAAGAGTCTGATGAAAACAGAGATCAAAATACCTTTGGACTTTTACCTTAGCTTTACTGAAGTCACCAGATGCTCTTGAGGCTTCATCTAGTGGTACAGCCCCGTGTTCTTTTGCTTCTTTGAAGAGTTCAGCAACAATTTTACTTGGATTGTTAGAAGCCCCAGAAATTTGTAATCCTCTGTATTCTGAGTCACCTGAATAAAATCTTTAGAATAGTAACATTCATAAGCAACAATGCTTTAAAACTCTTCCCATTAGTGAAAGTAAGTCAATGAAAAATGCATTTTCAAAAACAGGGTGGAGCAATGTCAGAAAAAATAACAAGTACTTCCACAATTGTTAAATGAGGTTTTTGTTTTTAAAATACCTTTGGTTTTCTTTGTCATCACTCATGCTTCTCTCCGGTTTTCTCAAACTTCTAAAAGAATCTATTTTAAGACTGTTGAGAAAAATGAAAGAACATTCATGAAGATGACTGGCACACACAAACTAAGGAAGGACATATTTTTGTTTTTACCATTTTTTAAACAAGACAATTTTATTTCTAAGCCAGACAAAATGCTCCAGAAGATCCACCTTGATGATAAGCTTATCTTCTCATCATAGCTGTTTGTCCAAGTTACACAGATGCTTAATACAGAGTAAGCCTGAAGTGGAATTCTGCTGGCAGTCTCAGAGATAATAAAGGTAATATACAAGCTGAACATCAACTGGAGAATCCTGTTTAGCAGTATTAACTTCACTTCCAATTCTTCACACATTTTAGCTGATTTTGTTGCCTAGTGAAGCCACTGCTGGCACTTTCTTTGATGTCTAGGTATTCCTGTCTATGACTATCCCAGAAACAAAGTAGTAGTAGTTTTCACTTCTATCCTGCATGATCTTAGAAACATATTGAATGGCATTGTTGAAAAGACTTTAAAAAGAGAATTAAACTGGCATTTAATAATATCTTAGAACAAGGACCAGTTGGTAAGCTACCAGAAGACAAATGACGTTGTTAGTTTGCAATATGCCAGGAAGAGCTGTACAGATGTAAACCCTCATCCTGGAGTATTTCACAATAAAATTCATCAATGCAAGATCTGCGTAAAGCAGCCGAGCTCATAGGCAGGATAAGAACACAACAGTCCACTATGTGGCAGTTTGTTAGTTCAGGCTTAAGAAACGTTTCACCACAATACATTTCAAATCAAAATATAGTGGAGCAGGACATCACGTTTTTAAGTACTGGTGTTAAAACGAGGTGATTCTACAGCTCCAAGAAGGCTCTGCTTCTTATTTTCTTCTCAGAAAAAAAGCCACCAAACAAACGTATTGCTACAAACTTAGGTCATGGGCACTAGAAGCTCTTTCATGATGTTATTCTGCTATTCTTAATCTCTTCTGTTTTCTTCCTTTGACACACTCTGGGCTTTGTACTTTTATGCCAACTGTCCTAAATTTGGTGAAGGTGCTAGAGATTATATAACACGATGGCATAATTCAGCAGGGCCCACAGACATCTTCTATACCTGCAACTGTGCAGACAAGTAGATGACTTCAAGAGAAGCATTATGTTTCCTTATAATTAACACTGCTCATTTAAAAGGCAACTGAAGTAATTATATATATATATATATATATATATATAATGATATAATAACATTTATATAATGTAATGGTATATATATCATTTTGGATACCATGCAAATAGCAGAACTGCAGCTGTTTTCCACTTCAGATTCCAGCATGACTGCCAACAAAGAGCAAGTGCTTGCCAATAGCAGTCACACTAAATATTTGAGACACTGTATTGCAGCTTTTTCTTCACCTGGAACAGGAAGCTGCAACTTCATGACAGGTACTGGTAAATAGAGCTGTTTGTTTAATTTGTGTATAAATTCTGTTCTACATAACTGATCTTAGGCAGTTTTATCCAAGAAACCCAAACTATTATTCTGCAATTTTCTCATCTGGTGCTAAATTCCCTCTTCCTAAGGATCTGCATTTGCAAACGGAAATGCATCTGCTCAAGGGGTAGTGTGCTGACTAAGCTCTTTTTCTGCTATTTGACCTCTTCTGAAATAGAGATTCATATTGGCAGCAGAGAAGGAAAGACAAGCCAAATACAATCCTTGTTATGGCATCATTGACAGTGATGATTTAAAGACTTCTTTAGAACAATTTAAAGAACAATTAATTAAGAACTGGCAAGGTGTCTTCATAAAAGTTTTAAAGCTATATTGAATCTTCAAACCCCATGTGAACTGAAAACACTACAGGACAGCAAAACCTGGCTTTACATCTACAAACATGTCTTCTATCCACCCAGCACCACCAAACAACTTAATTACAAAGTCATCCTAATTTCTCTCACCTCCTATAAACCCACTACTCATTTATCTGGCTAGTTACTCAAGTAATACTGACCTAAACAGAAGACTCAGAGCAGCTCTCATCAAGTTTCACACAAACTACTGATTTGCTGAATTCTGAAGAAGGAAAGAACTGCAGTATTTTTCTGACACAGCAATTACCTGAGTTCTACCTCTGCAGAAAAAAAAAAACACAAGCAACACCGCATTTCACTTGGAGCATCTTAATCTTATCTTAGGTGAAGTGGGTTTAAAGCACTTTGGAACAGCATGTAACACAACAGCTCCCAGATCAGTATGACTAAAAAAGCATTCTAAGACATGAACTATGCATTATTACAGGGATTCCAAACTTTTGACTATGAACTGCTGTAGAGCACTGTCTGTACAAAAAGAAGACAAAGTAACTATGACGACAACATTTTGTTAGCTAATACAGCACCTATTTGACACATGTCTGAAGAACAAAGCGTCCCTTACCCCTTTGAGTTACTCATCTTTGTTGTCGTTGGTTTGTCAGGATGCAGTGACTGCCTTTTAGCTTCATCTTCATATAACTCTGCCAAGGCCAACTGTTGGAAACAGTACTCTTTTTAGAGGTCTAGAGATACATATGGAACAGAAATAAGACACACTAATGCTAAATGTGCACGTTATCAGAAAATTAGAGACATCAACATGAGAACTCTCAATTCTCTAAATTCAGCTTCCCTTCTATTTTATGAAAAAAAAGCAAGAAATACTCAATATGCTCATGCCAGAGTGATGCGATACTTGTACTCTGCTTGCGCTTGGTCCACAGTCTCATTGGTTACCTTCAGCCTACATTAAAGTTTCAGAATACACACACACCTATATATGTTACACATAATCTCCTCAATGCTAATAAACTGAAATAAAGTTGTTAAGAATCCCTCTGATAAAACTGGGAAGCAAATAAATTTTACAACATAGAAATGGAAAAATACAATGCAAGTGAAGTATGTACTGGGATTAAGACAGAAACAGCCTAACTGGCTGGCAAATATCATTGCAAATATTTCTATTAAGAAACTTTACCACACGGGCTGCCATATCAATGGAAAGTTCTTTTTCAGGAAACAGTGGGAGGCACATCTACCACACCATTTTTTAGCAACTTACTTTTGCCCTGAATAGCATACTACGTTGTTTTGTAAGTTTTCCTTAATTTAATACGCGATATCAAGTCGCAGGCGCAAGGACCATAAGCACATGCTAAGGAGGACCCAGAAAAGAGAGACTACCAACTAACTTCAGGTACACCCCTGTACTCAAAGGCCCTAAAGGGTCCGGCCCCACCAAGAGCCCCGCGCCCAGCCCTGCCCCCTCACGGCCACCCCTGAGTCAAAGCTCCGCCCCGCTGAGGGTCCGGGACGCCCCTCCCCACCCGCTCGCCTGCAAATCTCTCGCGCTGGGCGGGCGGCCGCTGCCACGGTGCTGCCGCTCCCTCCGGACACCCGGGCCGGCCGCCGACATTTCCCCTTCCTGCTGAGCGGGAGATGTTTCGCCGTCCGCCATCTTCTGAGGGCGGCAACCCCTCCCGCGGGTCGCCTTGGGCGGGGCCGGCGCCGCGCGGCACTTCCGGTTGCCATGGCAACGGAGCGGCCCCGCCCACCGGGCTGTTTCCGTGGAGACGGATGGAGGCTCGCCGCCATCGGAGAGAGCCTGGGCAGCCGGCTTCGTGTCTGTGTGCCTATCCGTGACCTGTCCTCCTCCTTGCAGAGGCAAAGCAAAGCTGAATGCATAAGCAAAGCAAAATAAATTCTTTCTTCACAACTTCCCGTTGGTGGGCAGATGTTTAGCTGTTTCCAGGAGAGCACAGTTTGATCAGTGCTTCAACTCTTTACAAGGGTAGATAAGGGCAGGACGAGGGGAAATGGTTTTAAGCTGGTGGAGGGAAAATTTAGGTTGGATATCTGGGGAAGTTCTTTACAGAGAGAGTGGTGAGGTGCTAGAACAGGCTGCCCAGAGAGGTTGTGGATGCCCCGTCCCTGGAGGTGTTCAAGGCCAGGTTGGATGGGGCCCTGGGCAGCCTGGTCTGGTATTGAATGTGGAGGTTGGTGGCCCTGCATGTGGCAGGGGGTTGGAGATGCATGATCCTTGAGGTCCCTTCCAACCCTGGCCATTCTGTGATTCTGTGTTCATGTTCAAGGATTCGTTAGGAATTCAAACAGCATGAACACAAATGTCCACCTGCCTTTAACCATTGCTTTAACCATAACTTAATCACTGCACACAGTGTTGTCTGGTATGGGATATCCTTTCAGCTGTTTGGGGTCAACTGTCCTGGCTGTGTCCCCCTCTGACTTCTTGCCCACCCCAAGCCTCCTCACCAACAGGGCAAAGTGGGAGGAAGAAAACTTTCGTGCTGTGAATGTGCTGCTGAGTGAGAGCCAAAGCTCAGGTGTGTTGTCGATGATGCTTTAGTCCCAGATGCAAACACTGCACCTGGGAGCTGCTATGAAGAATATTAATGCAATCTCAGCCAGATCCAGGGCAATGAACCTCTGAAATTTTGGTTGAATATTTCATGTCCTAATCTGTACTGAAATAAAACAATGTAATGCGAGAGGTAAGACTTGGAATGACCCTAAGTACAACTAATGAAGAACAAGTAGTACTTGAAAGTGTATGTTCTCTGTTTCCCGAGAATGAACTTAAGAAGAAAAGGAAACAAGACAGTAAAAGAATATTTATATAATGAATATATTTTGTATGTAATGGAAAACAAGTGTTGGTAGTGGTACAAGTAGAAATCAATAGATTGGTTCCAATTAGATATTTCATTAAGAAGTAGATCCATTGTATATGCACACAAATAAATCTCTGTGAGGCCAGCTGAGATGACTGGCAGCTGAAGAGTTTTGTAATGCAAATTAGTGAATACGCAAGTGATTGCAGCATGCAGTTGGCTACTTAGGATTTCATCTGAAACTGTGAATTGACAGCTAACATACAGCATTGACACTAATTATCCAGCATTCACACAAAATGCTCTATTAATCCTCAACTGAAACTAAGGGGGAACTTTCCTTAGCACGTGATGGTGACCTGTATGCTAAGCTGAGATATTTCTGAAGCATACAGCTGGTTGTGATTCACACTCTGCTGAAATAGCCAGCTAACATTTGTTTTCAAAGCCATTCAAACAAAAACCTACTGCTTTCTCCAGTGAGCCTGTCTAGAGCCTGCTTTCCATAGCTTACACATCAGAAATGCTGGGGGCTGTGGTTAGCAGAGCTTGTGTCACACACAACCTTGTAAGGCAGGCAGTGGAACTGTGCACGTGTGCTTGTGCCTTCTTGGTAAGCCAACTCTTCAGTGAGCGCAGACTGGAGGATCTGCTCAGCAGATCACTCTCATGAGTCAGTACTACCTACCTCTATACAGCAGTGTCAGTGTTGTTCTTAGTGAAACCATAGGTGCACGTGATTGCTTTTCCCTGCAGAATCCTTTCAGGTGTTTGACAAAGAAGAACAGCACAACTGAAGGTTGCATATATAATACATTTCACGTTGCTCTCACATTCTCAGCTCTATATGCCAAATCATGTGTGCTTGTAAAAAATTTTTGTCCTTACTTAGGGAAAAAAGTGAATAGAAGTAAGATTCAACTTCACTTGGCTCCTGCACTTGAAGCCTTTGTATGAATATGTCAAGAATAAAAATGCAGTCATGTGCTGTTCCATTCAGTCTTCCCTGGATTCATGAGTAGTGTGCAGCTGTTGTCTAAGGGAAAGTGTCCTGTGGTGATACAGACTGAATTAGCAAAGAGGATGTCTAAACTGTAATTGCTTTAAAAAGCCAAATGACTCTATTATTAAATCAGTTGTGGTTTTTTTTGTTTGTTTGTTTGCCTTTTTTTTTAAATAAGTGTCTCACGTTTTGACAGGCCTGTCTACCCTAAACATTGGCGTTATTCCCATCTGTCTTTCTCTGTGATTGCCTCCTCTTTGGTTCAGGCTGCCAGCAGCGTTATCAGAGATCACCTGAATACAGATTAACGCATCTTTTTTTTTTCTCAGTGAAATTTATGTAATCGCAGACATCTGGAAATTTTAATCTGCCCATCCCAAGCAGTCATTTTGATTTTTATAACATTATTATTGTGACCAATGTTTTCTTTCATGGTAATAGATTGGAAACAACTAATCACAATCTATTGTCTTCTAGTTCCTTAAATAAAATCGTTTCTGTATTTTTCTTTATGTCTTAAATACTCCTCAATTATCCGAGATATTTTTCTCCTGGTTATTAAAACTAACATAATTTTACAGTCTTCTATTTGGAAATAATTCAGGTAATAGACAAGTCTTTTATTTTCAAAATCTCACTGCAGTTGTTGCTGTCCAGAAGTAAATCTCTAATTAAAAAATAAGTAAAATAAGTAGTTAAACAAGCCCCTCTTTGATTTTTTGGATGTAACATAAAAGCAAAGAAGAAAAGTTAAGAATAAAATTACCATGCACATAAGATTAATAGCAATACCTAGAAATATAGTATCTAGTACCTAGAAATATATTTAAAATAAAAACATTGGAGAAACTTTAAAAAGAGTGATCAGGATAGGAATGGGAAAAATTATATTTTTACATTTATAGCATAAAGGAACAACTGGGCTAATGGGCTTGGAGGCTGCGATAGAGAGGTGAGAGTTAGAATCATAGAATCATAGAATCACCAAGGTTGGAAAAGACCTAAAAGATCATCCAGTCCAACCGTTCACCTATTCCCAATAGCTCCCACTAAACCATGACATGACATGAGTAAATACTTTTTAGACTAAGATCAAAATATTACTGGCATTGTAGGGTCAGGTCTTTGAACTTCAAGGACTTGTGATGCCAAATTATTTTTACTGTCTACAAAAAATCTACAGAAAAAATCTCAGATACAAAACGGTTACACGTTGACACACTGGAATTACCATGAATCTCAGAAATAAAAAGGAGACCTTTTTGTCTGCTAGGCAGCACGTAAGTCTGGATTTGATTTGTTTTTAATGATTTACAAAACAGGAATGCGTATAAAGTGAATAAGAATGTGTAAAAAGTGAATAAGAAGTATCTATTTAAATCGAAAAACATCTGAGTTTTGTATATATCACAAGACCCAATGGATGGCAACCCTGCCCATAGCACAGGGGTTGGAACTGAATGATCTCTAAACCATTCAGTGATTCTATCATTCTGTGATTCTATGTTTCTATGATTTTAGGCTTCTATGATTCTACGGCATACCTAGAGAGATGGGAAGATCTGAGAATTTAACTAGTTTACCAAGTCATGGTACATTCCTTATCTAAACATAGTTCAACTGGCAGAGTGCTAGCTGCATCTAGTCTCCAATCTTTTTTTACAATCTGCTACCTTTTTCTTGGAGGAGGTAGAGAATAATGGTGTGGATTATTTACTCACCAAGCACCTATTTCTACTGTGTGAGGAATAGCTCAGAACTCTGAATGAAGAGTATTCAGAAAGGTCTGTTGACAATTTGCCTACATAAAAAAAGGTTGAAATGAAGGTATGTCTTCAGCAGAACCAGAACAGCTGTTGATACTTCAATGTGGTTTTTATGCGAGTTCCTAAAACTTGAACTGAACTGCTACAGTTTGCTGAGGTTGTACTGTGGTGAGACTAAGATTTGTAAAAGAAACACCATTTTCATTAGATTTAGCTTTAGTTCAGATATCACTTGCTAAAACACTGAGAGATCCTGTCTGACTTGGGACTGGCCAAGACTGGATTCCCAGCAGCAGGATAAAGCTGGAGGCAAATATTGCCATGGTGTGCACCTCATCACTATTTTGAGAAGTTGCTGGAACTGGGAAGTGTCAAATGTGGAGATCTGGTAACTGGGGCAGCTGGAAGAAATGTTTTGGAGGAAGTGCAAGAGAAAGCTATTGGAGAATGGAGAAATGTAGCAAAATCTTCTCAAGGCATTTCTGAAGTCACAGTGGAATATAATATCTTCTTGTTTAGGAAGCTTGTACACGCTTGAGCACCAAGTTAATTAGTGCTGACATACATTTGTATTTAAATCAATTAATTTGTTTTCTGCCAAAAATGCTAAGTCCTGTAGGAGAGATTTTGTAGTACTGGTCAGCAGGTAGTTCCCCAGTAGAGTTTCTTCTCCAGGAGCTGCAGTCCCATGGCCCTTGTCCTAGAAAGAGAGGAGTGGAGCAGGGAGGAGGACGTCTGTGCTTTGTGGCTGTGAAGAAAACTGTGTTAGAGGGAAATTTCCCATAGGAAAATAACATAAGAATGAGAAATGTGTTGGGGTGAACACAATGGGTTGTCATGGCCTATGATTACAGTGTACCAGCTGTTTTGCAACTGATAACATTGTGTGATAAACCAAAGGAAATTTCTTAGGGGCTAAGAGATTCACATTTCTATTTAAAATTAAAAACAAAAACAAAAACAAAAACAAAAAAACCCTAACAAAATTACCCCTATAACAACAAAGAATACAGTTCATTAAAAATGTATCAGTATTGCTAATTTCTAACGGTCTACAATTCTCAAATTCA